CAGATCAAATCTTATAGTCGAACCACTGCTGGACCTTGCCAGCTAACCCAGGCTTCCCTCAACTTTAATGACTTTTTGGGATACATAGACTTTTAAAAAGTACGGACTTTTGAATGGAACAAAATAAATACGTATATACAAATGTAACTATTGATTATTTTTTGGCTAGTTCAATGATTGTCGCGCGTCTTAGAGCATAATGCTGATAATTAAATACAAAGGCAATATTTCTGAACTCATATATAGCTGTGAGACCAGTGCATGGAGATCCAGCTCTACCAAAGAAGTTGTGTAGGCTTATCTACTATACCCAATCAAGTCCTCTGGAGCACGAATTTGAGCGGTAACTTCCAAACTCCCAGACCGATCTAGATACTGTCAGCCAGGCTTTTCTGGTGATCGGCGTTGATAGTGGTTTGTCTAATTCTTCGGCTCTTCCATAAGTGAATTTGTGTGTTGCAAAATGGCGAGCAATCAGTGTGAGGCTTAATGTCCTCGGGTTACATTACATCGACGTGTTGTGGAATGAGCGAGAGGCTATTCATTTTCAATTAACCACCAATTGTATAAACGACCGGCGAACACATGGTGAGAGGGCTGATTTCGACGGCCAATTACTAGAGCACACTATTCTATCTCGAGGTTTGTGGAGAAGTGGACTGGAAAACGGCGATGGATGGATTGGTTGACGCAACTCTCATGAGGAATATAACCGGTGAAGCTGCTCGACGAATCGTTACCGATTAGGTTTCTCAAGAAGGGGTGAAGAGGTTGAGAATAGGAGTCTACTGCTCAAGTAGTGTTCTAGAACATTCCATACCTCAGTGTTCTCTCTTGCAGCCACACCTTCGCCTCTCTCTCTTCACGGGAGAAGGAATCGTCCTAGACACATGTACCCCCTCCTCCCAAAGTAGCGATTCGTTCTCCAGTGGAGTAAAAACGTAAAGTATGAGGGATATTGTCCTATAAAGTTCAATTCATTTTCAAATATGCAATAGCAAATTCATAACGGAGTTGTGTATGGATTTTCATAACTACTGCAAAAAGAATTCCAACAATTTTTCTAGTGACCGCTCTATTCTCATAAGGTTGGTAATTAAGTGACTGCACGTTTTTTGAGTATCCCTAGTAAGTTCAAATATTTATCTCAAAAAGTAATTACCCGTACTTCATGCGACTTATATTGGCCTGGCACCTGAGTATCTCATAGGAAATATACATATAACGGAATAAATATCGCTTTTGTATAAAAAAGATTATTATATTTTCCTAAAATACGCGCACTTACTTAATTGACAAGCTGATGGGTTGCTACAATTCACACTTCATACATCCTGAACAGTAACGGTCACATTTCCACCACTCTCAGTTTTGGGGTGGCAAACGTTTGTGGGAATTGATCCACTGGATCTCAATAACTCTTTTGACTTTCAAACCGAAAACTGGTGGATTACTCTTCTTTTGCATCGAAGTGGTGAAGGTCAGTTCAACTCATAGTATGGACAAACTCCAACGGCAATAAGAGAAGGTGAAGATCCAATACTCACAGTTGTCAGAACATATCTGTCTAGCATGTCTAGAGGAAAGCCAGAGCTCATAAGACTTGTTCTGCTCGATCGCTATGAGCATCAGGAACTCTCTCTCTCTCTCTCGCTAAAAATTCTCACTACCTTCAAAGTTCACATACTTTCACAAAAAATCTCTTTACTTTAAACGATATTGGACATCTGGATTCGTTTTGATCTCATCCGCATATGCACACTATAACATTCGACGATGGATCGAAATGTGGGAACCCAACAACTGCATAGATCTGCCCATTCGAACCTTAACATGAGCAATGTGGCCAGCTTATGACATGCATCCTCATGAAGGGAAAAACATCTTTGTGATCGCTGTAATAACACATTTCACACTGCCACTTCATATCTTGTCCACTGTAAAGATGAACCTCATTCGCTACCGTATCCGATGGTGAAGTAGCCGTTACCACATTAACCACAATGGTTGTGGCAGTGCTTTTCTTTTCGATTTTATGGACGTCAACAGTTGTCGTGATGAGCGAGGGTGTTTGTATTCGGTCGACCCGAGGGATGTCGTTCGGCCCATTGGTCTTCATTTGTCAGCACCACGAAACGACTCACCAGCGGCACCACCTTGTCTGGCGGGTCTTGTGCACGGGATTCCCACCAAGTTCCTCTCCCACGTGATATGGAACCAGAGTTATAGCTATTAAATGATAAAGGATGAAAGCGCAAAATTAAGAAGAAGAATTTGGGACAACTCGTTTGTCGAGAGCTTGACCTTATTTGTGGTACTACGAAGTACAATGTCTTAGTAACGTTCGATTGAATATATGCTCTTCACAGTAGCTTACAAAGGCCTATTACTAAGAATCCACAGGATTTATCCCTTTTGATGNACATTGTTAGATTGCATAGACAGAACCCAGTTCGAGAACCAGGTCAGGTCAACTTTTGAGATAGTTTCCTACAGAGCTTAGGAGAGCCTTAATCAAACGGAAGGAGTATTCTGAACAAAATCAAACCATCTGGGGTTCAGAGCAGCGCTAGAATAACCTGCGTGAATATTATATGAATTGAATATTCACTGATTAACGTGCTCGTAACTATTTTCCGCTCTCCTGGAAAACTTTCATCGTTCGTTGGGTACATTCCCAGAAATTAACAATGTATCAAAACATAGTTTACCAGTTCTTCACATAAATTCTTCCCAGAATCAAAAATGGTGTTTCTCAACTGGAGTAAACAGAGGTACAAAGATATTATAGTAACCAGAGAGTTATTCGATGTAACAAACAACAACTCTTTAAGCCCCACCTTTCCTTACCTTTGAGCAGCGACTTTTCAATCGACAATCATAAAACTTGAAAGTAACCTCTTCATGAGAGTCATACTGTAACTAACAATTGCGAATTATACCAAATTTTATGCAATAACACAAAATAATTCCAAAAAAATTTAAATTTTCCATTTTGATTCTAAATGTATACTGTCAGAGCCTAACCGATTAATTAATTCAAACTAAACAGACTAAGCAGTGCACCACCCACAACAACACCTCCGCATTCCAAACTTACAGGTACTCTAGAGTTGTTTTTCGATGTTGAACTAGATAGAGACGATAACAATTAAGAACTAAGTAGATATTCGAAGTAATGTTTGTGTCACCATTTTAGCTTTCCAAAAAAACAAACCCAGACTTTGACCTAATCTTGTCAGGCTGTCACCTCAATAAAGTATAAGCAGGCGTCTGTTCCAAAGGCATCAGAAATGTCCACGAATTCCGATTCGACTTTCCTGTTCGAGCTTTTCAGAAGGCATGGAAGCATTGCGATGGATGTTAGGATTAGTTACGCCTCCAGAAAATACACTTTTGCTTTCTTTTTCGTCTGCTCTCAATTGAATCGAATCACTCAGTATGAATTACATTGTGGACGTGGTTGTAAGTGATGATGGACAAATGAGAGCCAGCAATTACATAGCGGTGGCGCTCACACATCAAAGAGAAGTACATTTGTCAACTGAGACATGTGCGCCTGTTCACGACGAACAAGTGATGAGAGAAAGGCGAAAATGAGGTTCAACCTCGAAGGGACACTAGCAACCAGCCGTGCAACCCACGTGTACAGTGTGACAAAAGAGACAGACTGGCGCCAACTGTGGAAGTGGCTCTCCTCAAAGTCCAAAGTCATAATTTGGCGATACTACTGAGAAAAGGGACCGACTTCTATAAAGTACTAATCAGCAGAGCGAGCCAAATCGAAATATTCCGTGATAAGAACAAATCTATAAAAATAATCAATAAATGCGAAGGATGGAAATTACTCTTGTGTAATAGCGGACCATATTACATCACAACGACATTTTCCAACTTGGATACCAAGACAGTAGAAAAAAAAACGTGAGTGAAAATGTAGTTGGAGGAAGTGGGGGAGGGGGCACCGCTTTTAGCCAACACCGAGGATTAGAGCGCTGGGGAGTAAGGTAGTTAACTTTAGTTGTGCTTACAACTAGCCTAAGGAAGATTGTTTTCACCTAAGCCTAAAGAGGGGAGAAACACCGGAGTAGATGAGATTATTAACTTGGCAGAAAACTACCATAGAGTAAAAATTGAACATTTAATTGGCTCACCCACCCCGGTAATCTTTCCCCCTAGGATTTCCGTGAAAAGCCATAATTTTCGATTATCAAACATTCTTAAGCATCATTATGAGCTTGAAAGCTGCTCCTTTTTGTCGCTCTAACGCTCAATGCTGGAAAAGAGCGGTGCCCCACTACCTAACTACATTTTCACCACAGACTGAAATGATAACGATGGTGAAGCACCCGACTGGGCCCAGTGCTTGTGGGAACCTGCTGGAATCGCTTTGAAGAAGGTAACGCAAAAAGGCGGGAAACCCATACCAAATATCGACCAGAATGGGCATTGATTTGCTGATCTCTGGGTGCTATGATCTGCAGTATCACCACTTCATTTAAATTCGACTTTAGAACTCAATTTTCTGTTTTATATTCCATTGCCAGTTTCTTCCCAACCCTCAGATTTGAATAAATGAAGGTTGAAATTTGATTGACATCAACAGCCATTCGCTGTTTGAACTGTTCCGCTTTTTGCTGGTTTCCATGTATATTTTTTCACAGTTTGGTGATGGTTCACTCAGGATTACCTCACTACCAGTTTGCCGTTGACAACACGGTAATTCTCGAGGATTTTTTATGAACCTGTCTAGAACAATAACCGGTACACCGGTACTAGTAAATAGCCGCGCATGGGATCATCTCTACTGAACAGTCCGCCCCGTTTTTTGATACTCCGGTATAGTTGATGAAAATCATAATCGGCCGAGATTACGTGAGTCAGATAGACTAATTCTTTCCATCACTCACTGAACTCGATTTTTCGCTCTCTCCCTCCCTGGAATCGCCATGCTCTGAAAAATCATCTGAGAATTCACGGTCTCTGCTGTCTCATGGATTTAGACACTCTTCTCCTTCTGCTGTACTCAATTACTGTACAATGTTACTGTAAGAAAATCAACCTACTAAGTGTCTTGAATAATATTACATTACGAGCTGATAATCTCTCACTTCATATGAAAGATGTTCAAATACAAAACGGTGTGATGTCTTTCAATGATCTACAAGTAGAAGCTGACGGTGTTCAATATAGTGTCGACAAGAGATCAGGTGACTCTTTTATTTGGCATTTTCAAGGATTCACTACACTACCACTTTATTTACGTTTCAGCGCGTTTTTAAATAAGGGAAGCATTGCTACCCGCGTGTAGAAGGCTTTATACGCGAGCAGTTGCGCAGCGGCTGCCCTTAGAAATGTCATTCCTTCGCGCATATTAAACTTTCTTAAGCACATAATTCTGTTACAAGTTCCACCACTATACTGTACATTATATACTGATCCCGTATAGTTTCAGTTAATCAGTCATTAGTCTTTTTGCAACACACACTAACCTATCTACCCTCTCAGTTGAAATTAAAGGGTGGGCTAAACTCAAATGCAAGGGACAGAGTCATGAACTATTTCTACAGAACATTCGAGTCGTGTAGTTGACTTAACTGCTACTAGTACTCGGAGGATTTACAAGTCTACTACATCAGCTTTACAGTTTCAACCAAATAAAACCGGTAATTAGAAGAAAAAACAGAAAAACAGAAAAAAGGCAGTTATTGCAGAGCAGCATAGCAGTGATGTGTCAGGACGAGTGGTTCACCACCCGGAACTGGCCAAGTCCATCGACCGATCGATCGATCCTTGTAAAGACTTTTATTCTTTTGTTTGCAATGGATGGATCCAATCACATCCAATACCGGAAGATGAGTTCGAATATACTCAAAACGAACTTCTTAAGGATACTATCATTAAAAGAGTCAAAGGTAACGACATTAAGGTATAAATGCCTTTTAAATCCAAACATAACTATATCAAAAAAGAAAGGTAATTACAGGTATACTAGAAACATTGCCTCCTTATGTAACACGGGAAGACAACCTTATGCGAATTTTCTATCATAAATGTATTCGTAATACACTTCAACCAGATAACAACGGAATGTCAATGCTATTCGCAAAAATGAGGTAAAACCGGACCGATCGATATCCCTTTGAGATCACAGACCAGCGGTGATGTGTCTATCGTGAATCAAAGCTATTTATACAGAAGTAATCTGTAAAAACAACATTTTACTCGACAGGACTGTCTCTGAAAAACTTACCTATAAGAATCTTTTTTCTGAGCATCAATATTTGGGGGCTACTGGATACCCGTTCTGGATGTTATTCGTGCCTAATAGTCGAAAGCAGATGTTTTCGACTAAGTGCCCTTTTTTGGATGCGTTTAATAACACAATGATGAGCTCATATAAAGTAATGCAGTCAGTGGAATAATTTAGAATCACTTTCAGAGATGGATTTTACATGGTTATAATGTAGTAGCTAACGGGAGTGGTAACAAAAGGTGCTGCCATAACCCAATAGCTCGTAGATCAGCTTCTATGAAGGCTCATCAAGCCTCTCACTTACCCTTCCTGGGTCTACTATTC